GGTTCATGCATAACAGGCTAATCCTAGAATAGTAGCACCAGGTAGTATGCTAGTCCTAGAAAGGGTGCTTTATGAAGAAACTAGGATTGATAAAAATTTAAATCCAAACTCAACATGTACTCTAATTTCAGAATGATAAGTGGAGGAAAATATGAAGACAATGTGAAATGCCAATATATAATTACATGAGATGCTTTAGTCATCACTAAATTCAGCTACAAAAAGATACTAGGATAAATGATTGTAAATTGTAGTATGAACTATTTTCTCTTGTAATCTTTTTATAATATGTGATTTAATACCTAACAGGGACTTACAATACTTCACAATAGATCTGAAAACCTGTTCCTCCTGTCAGTTGGAAGGTTTTCACTCATTGATCACTATGATTTCTTCACTCTTTTTTTTCCCCTATACATTTCCTCCTAACCTGTGGTAACCTCTAGGGGTTTGTTGGATTCCACTTATACATGGAATTGTACTCTTTTATCTTTCTATGCCTGGATTATTTTCATAGGGTAATATATTCCTGATTCATGCACATTGTTACAAATGACAAGATTTTCTCCTTTTAAGGCTGAAGAATATTTCATTATATATATATATATATACTGAGTCATGATAGATCTATTTTTGATGACTCTAAGTACAGTTTTCATAATGGGTGCATTCATTTGCATTCCCACCAGTAACATACCTTATAAGAGTTCCTTCCCCCGCCACACATTCTGATACTTACCTTTATTCTTCTTGATAAGAAATATCCAAAAAATGTATGAGATCTCCTTGTGGTTTTAATGAGCATTTCTCTCATGATTAGTGGTGCTGAACATTTTTCTATGTATCTATTAGGCAGCTGAATATCTCCTTTGAGAAATGTTTCAAGTCTTTTTTGCATTTTTAAATCACATTATTTCCTTGTTAATTGGTTCCTTATATATTTTGGATATTAACTGTAATTAAATATTTGATATGCAAAATAATCCCATTCTATGAGTAGTCAATGTTGATTTCTTTCAGTAAACATTCATTGGTATACATAAATGCTCTTCAATAATTTACAGTAATCCTTCTTTTTATTGTATCATATGGATATAATATGTTTGGCATTTGATTATTTTTATATTCATCAATATTGAATATTATGAAAAAATTATGAAAAAATTTATAATATATATACTTTCATTTCTCTGAAACACATTTTTCTTTGGATTCTTGAGGCAGAATTTGGGGATAAAAAGTTTAATTTTGTAAAATTTCAAGGTATCAAATAAAACTATTTGTGCTCTAGCTAAGAGATAATTATTCAGTAAAGTAATGGCATGAAGATTTATATTTTTGCTTTCTTTTTAAAATTCTATGGATTTCATTAATGTTTAGGATCGATTTTGAGTTCATTTTCGGTGTCTTTGCTCATAATTTTTCTATGCATTTATCTATTTAAGACACTGATTAAGAGACTATTTTCTTGCTAATGGTTTGCTGAGATTGTTCATCTTTTCAAAGCATAATTTTTAGTTTTGCTAATTTTTATTCTATATAACTTATCTATTCTCTAGTTTGGGGATTTCTCTCTCATCTCTACTATTTACACACACACACACACACACACACAACTTTGTCCTTTGTTTACAAATTCTTATAGTGAAATCCTAGGTAATTTATTTTAGACATTTCATACATTCCAAAAACTAGCCATCCAAAATTCATAATTTCTCTGAAGTAGTGCTTCATTTCCAATACACGAATTATGATACATTGCATATGTCTGCTCATATTATTGCTATGTATTGCCGTTTATCAGCTGACCTTCTTATTTTAATAACATAAATATTACATGGACATTCATTGACATTCTCATCCAAAGTTATGATAGTTTTTGTTTTAAACAGTTGCAATAATTTAAAGAACTGAAAAGAAATGTTTCATTTACTGATATACTTACCATTTGTTTTACTCTTTCATTACCTTTTTCTGTTTTATGGAGAAATTTCTTCTCCATTTCTTATGCAATGGATTTGACTGTGAAGTTCTAGTAATTTATTTTCTCTTTGCAAAGTTTGACACCTTCTGCCCCATTCATTAATTCTAAAGGCCTGATTTTTTTGTTTTGTTTTATTTTCACCACTTTGTTTCTGTCAGTGGCAATTCTAAGTTACCATTTCTTTAAAAATTAAACTGCCCTCTCAACTTCTCTGATTTGAAAACAATGCAATATCTATAGTCGCACTGTTGTTCTTTGAATGCCAGCTATCATTTTTCTATATCTGCTTCACCGTTTATTATGAATTGTATTTGAATGTATTTAGATATGCTGTTGTTGAATTTTCATATTTAGGTGTACTAAGCTTAAATAAGTAAATTTATATTTGTCAACATATTCTTTTGTTCATTATTTCTTCAAACGTGTCTTTTTCTCTCCGTTATCTTTCTCATCTCTGGAATTTTACTGAAGCATGTCCAAAATTTTAGCTGAATTGCAAGAAAAGCTAGGGTGTTTACTGGACACTGTGAAAATTGTATTATGCTCAATCTTGGTCATTTCGTGATTATCTGGATAATTTTCGTTTGTAAGTGAATGATTACCCCAAAGTTCTGTGTTGCTTCCTGTAAGCAGTTAATCATATATCAGTTGAATTCTCAAAGCTTCCACTATGCAGGATTGTGTCTGTCCAATATTCACAAATCTCAGAGATTAGTATGCATTTTTTTTCTCTTTTTTTAAAGAGAAAAGAACAAAACCAAAATAACAAAAAAAGACAAAAACAAAACATTAAAACAATAAAATGATACCCAATTTCAAAACAAGGTGATAGGAAAATAAATATGATTGTTATATTACATATTGTTATCTTCAGAGTGGTTACTCAGATAACCAGATATAGGTATGTAAGACTGATCAAGCAACTACACATTAACTGTTCCTTTCAATAAACCAGGAGAAATTAGTAGTACAATTATTTTTGCTATTGTGTGTGTTTGTGTGTGTCTGTGTATATATACACATATACATATTTTTTCCTTGTTTCTTTTTTTTTCTCTTTTCCCTTATCCCAGGTGTTATTTCCTATTTGAGCAGTTTATTTTCCCTTTCACAATATCTATTGTACTGTTTAGATTTTATTTACTCTTTCAGGTTTTTATAGTAGGGAGGAAATACAATGTTCACACATGTGAATCTGATTTATTTCACTAATGAGTATGGTCTCTAGTTGCATCCA